GTCAGGCAGTTTGAGGAGGAGTTCATCAGCCTGCTGTCCAACATCACGGGTGCTATTGTCAATACAGATGATGTGCAGGTAACCATCCACCTTTGAGGTTGCTTTGAGGGGTAGATGACCTTCTGCAAGCTGCTTGGAAGGTGTCCTTTGAGGGTATAAACCGCTGAGCTCTGAAGGTCCTCATACACATGAGGGTGGGGCATACCAAAGGGGTCCAAACCCATGTCATGCTTGAGGGTCTCTTATCACATGAGCACACTTCAAGGCACCTCTCCCACAGTGCAGACCTTGCTGTCTCTCCCCAGTTCCATGTTGACAAGAAAGGTCGGGTGAACTTTGCACAGACAGAGCTGCTGATCCATGTGGTGAACAGGGAGACCAACCGCATCCTGGATGTGGAGCGGTATGTCACCTGGCCTGTCACCCAACCCATATCCTGGCCCGCTGGGTCCTTGGGGAGCCTCATTAATGTCAAGATGCCCAAGCAACCCTTCTCTTCCCAGGGTGATTCAGATGATAGATGAGAACAAGGAGCAGCTGAGGAACCTCTTCAGGAACTACAATGTACTGGACGTGCAGCCTGCCATCACTGCCCAGGCCCCAGACGACCTCTCAGCTCTGCAGGTAATGGTCCAGCTGGAGTGGAGATGGCTGCTGCTTGCAGGTGGGGCAATGATGTCCCATCCCATCCTCCATGGCCCTCCGTGATCTGGAGATACGTTTCACCCAGATAATTTCAGGAGAGTGCCCATCACTGGGTACCAGAGGTTGCCACTACCCCTTTGCTCTCCTAGATGGCGATCATCGTGCTGGCCATCCTGCTCTTTCTGGCTGCCATGCTCTTCATCCTCATGAACTGGTACTACCGGACAGTGTGAGTAACCCCCAGGCTCTGCCTCACTGGCCAGGGGGACCCATGTAGCTGCTCCCAGCCCTGACAATGCCAGTAAGCAAAGGAGGTCATCAGCTTCCCAACACATTCTGTGCCACGATTCAGCCTAGTTCAGAAATTGCCCCTCTTCCCCCAAAGTATAATGGCTTCAATAGTGATAGCAGCTCTGCCCCCCAAGCATGCCACCTTATAGATATAGGGGCTGTTTGCAGGGTTATTGCAAATCTGTGTCCCCCTCTCCTTTGGAGCATCTTCTTTATTTTCTTCCCTGATTTGCTGTATTTCCTTCACAGGCACAAAAGGAAATTGAAAGCCATAGTGGCTGGCTCCACTGGTAAGCAGTGTTTGGGGTTTTCCAGATGCATGAGATAGCAGGGTGCATAAAGAGCATAGAGGGGGTGACCTGGGGGATGTCTGTGGGGTGTAAATTCGAAGTGATCCTGCCCAGCAAGGCCCATGGGTGGGAGGCTTTTCTCAGCTCCTAGGCTCCACATTACCAGCTGCATCCCAGTATGCTTCTCATGCCACCGGTGCCTTTCTGGTCACTGGATTTCCGTCCCTGATAAAGAAGTGCTGCCCTATGGTTTACTGCTCAGCCCACCAACATGCCACTCTTTAACTCCCGTCCCTGCTTCTTTCAGGAAACAGAGGTTTCATGGACATCATGGACATGCCAAACACCAACAAGTACTCTTTTGATGGGTGAGTTCTCCCTTTCCTTCCCTTCCCTGGTTTGCCACCTTGCAGGATCACATGCTGCTCCCAAGAGAGGGATGCCTGCGTTTTGTAGCCAGAGATGCTTGGGATGTGGAGATGCTGTGCCTTTCTGCTCTGCAGAGGGATGCAGCCAGGCATGCCATGGCTGCTTGCCTTGAGAGCTTTCAAAGCCAAAAGACCTTGTGCTTTCTCCTGTGGCTCCATCTCTGCCAATACTGGCCGGGCTTGGGGTAAGCAGAGATGACCAGTGGGTGTCGACACACCTCTGGATCCAGATCAGCCGAATTCATGCCCCCACACGGCAGGAGGAGGCAGCACAACCTCAGCATCCGGGCTTTGGATGGGGTTACGGATGGTGCGGCTCCTTCCTTGTGCTGAGAGCTGCTCCTCTCCCCTGGGCAGGGCCAACCCGGTATGGCTGGACCCCTTCTGCAGGAACATGGAGCTGGCAGCACAGGCAGAGCACGAGGATGACCTGCCGGAGAACCTGAGTGAGATCACTGACCTCTGGAACAGCCCTGCCCGCACCCATGTGAGACACGGCCCCCAGAGGACCCCTCGTGCTGCGCCCGAGGCCCGTGCCTCAGCTACTCTCTCCTCCCACAGGGGACCTTCGGGAGAGAGCCTTCTGCAGCCAAGCCCGAGGATGACCGCTACCTGCGGGCAGCCATCCAGGAGTACGACAACATCGCCAAGCTGGGGCAGATCATGCGGGAAGGACCCATCAAGGTGAGTGTTGAGCGTGGGCATCCTCCACCCAGGGGTCTTCTCCAACTGCTACAGCTTCCAGGTTGACAGCTGCGGTGCCGGAGGGTGTTGCCTCATAAAATACTGGGATGGGGTCAGCCTCCCTCCAACCAAGCGGTGTCCCTCAGGTAACCCACCATCTCTCCCCCTCCACCCAGGGCTCTCTGTTGAAGGTGGTCCTGGATGATTACATGCGCTTGAAAAAACTCTTTGCCCAGCGGATGGTGCATAAGGCCACCGCCAGTCAGGGGGACCGCTCCTCGGTCTCGGAGGTAGATGTGGTGTGCATGGGCATGGGGAGATGCTTGCCGTGCCCTCTGGGATGCAGTGTGTCTTCTCAGCCCTTCTCAGTCGCTTCCTGCAGCTGTGGTCCCCGTCACTCAGTGGTCTCCCCATTCTCTGCTTGGCCAAAACAAGCCAGACACTGGGTTTCCACTGAGGCTGCTGGTTCCCCACAGTGCTCCAGCTCTCGTATCCCTCTGAGCATCAGCAGCTCCTTAACCCTCAGTCTCTGGGTGGGCTCTGTCCATCACCTCCTGTCTCTCTGCCAAAGGTGGCCATGAAGCTGCAGGTCCCTACACACATGCAGGAGCACCTTCCCTCCCCTGTGCTCCTCTGAGCTTATCTGAGTTTTGAGGCAAAAAGGCTGGGACAGAGGGTTTGGTGCAGAAGGGCTGGTGAGGGGAGCAGCAACTCCTCTTGCAGCCTTCCCCCTCTTCATGGAGGACAAAACATGGGGCATACAGAGCAGAGGAGAGCAGAAGGATGGGAGACACCCTTTCAACCCTTCTGTCCCCTTATCCCTCCTCACCCTTATCTGCCTCCAGCCTTCCTTCAAATCCTTTCCTTGTCTGCCCCATACAACCCCAAACCCCAGCCCGGGTCCAAAATCCCCTTTGGCTGCTGCGGGGGGCTGCTGCTGGACACACCACCTGGCTGGCAGTTGGTGCACCCACCAGATGAGTGAGCGATCTGGCTGGAGACCATCATCGTGCTGGTGATCCTCATCACCATACTTCAGAAGAGGAGGGTACTATCCCTCCCACTGAGCTCCAGCATTGCAGACGGTTTGGAGGCAGGAAGCAGGACTTGCTCTGGACACAGTAGTGATTTCTCTGCTCCATGGACTTTTTACAGCTGATCCAGAAGGAGCTGGAGGAGGAGGAGGGGGAGCGCAGCCCCAGCCAAGGCAGCCTCCGCTTCCGTCACAAGCAGCCAGTGGAGCTGAAAGGTCCCGATGGCATCCACGTGGTGCACGGCAGCACGGGCACGCTGCTCGCCTCTGACCTCAACAGCCTACCCGAGGACGACCAGAAGGTGCTGGGTCGCTCGCTGGAGACTCTGACCACCGACTGCGGGGGCTACAGTGACCACAACGCCCGCACTGAGTCGGCCAAGTCCACCCCCCTGCACAAGATGCGGGAGGTGATCATGGAGAGCCCTCTGGAGATCACCGAGTTATGACGAGCAGTGCTGGTGGTGGTGCTCCTCTAGGCAAGCTGGGGCCGGCGGGGATGAAGCACAGATCAGGGGGTTGTGGTGAGGGCCAGGGGTACCCCAAGACCAGCACTTGGCCCCCCCTTCCCCTGCACGAATCCAGGCCAACCGGTGTGCATAGCTCCGGCAGCCTTGGAGAGCTTGGCCCCAGGAAAGGGCTCTCAGGACTGGTATGCTTTTACTCGCCTGTCATTTATCCATGAAAGCATTAATTTTTTTTTATTATTTTTTCTTATTAAAAAGGGGTTTTTTTTAAGAAAAAAAAAAAAGCAAAATGAATCCAATGAGTCCAGGCTGGACAGGGGTGAAGGTGCAGCAAAGGTGCAGATGATGTGCCGCATCCCCGGGTGTGGACTGGGGACAAGCAGCCATCATACCTCAACCACAGGCACAGGGAGGGCCAGGCAGTGTGAGGAGAGGCCAAGTCCATTTGGCATTAACAGCACCTTTCCAACAAGGAAAGACCCAAAAAAACCCAAACCAAACCTGAAAACATTTCTCCATTTTGCTGGCTTTACCAAAACATGTTGCGATGTTGAAAGAGACTGACAATAACTGGGGCTTCTGGATGTGGAGTGCTCGTGCGTGTTTTTTCTTGCCCTTTTCTTTCCCCTTCTCTCTTTATTTTGGGTTCGTTCATTTGGGGATTTGTTTCCAGTCGTAACCTTGTGGAGAGTTTCGGGCACGATCTGTTACGGGACTCAGAAATACACTGTCTATGGCTTTGGGTAACCTGTCTGTCATCCTTCCTCCCTGATCACATTCCTGGATTCAGCTTACTCAAAAGACCTTTTGAAGAGAAAACGCCCTTTTCCCTTTAATTCACTCCTCAACCCATCACCTTCACAAGAGATGCTGCCCCAGGTTTTGCTGCACCCCAGATTTCGTGGGAAGCATTAAACCTCCCACAGGTTTGCCCCATCTTACACACCAGGAGAAGCAGGAGGGAGACAACCAGCTGCGCTCATGGGAAGAGTTTATTTTCAATGAGATGCTCCCATGCACGCTCAGGACTGGGCACTGTGGGCATCTCCCTCCTGCAGCACGGAGGGACAAGCCAGTGCCCCGCTGCCCCTCTCTACCACAGCTGGGTCAGCACAGGGGCACCAGCAAGGATGTGTGGGTGAAAGGGACTGTTTGCCCCCAAACTCACTCATTTTTTGTTCAGGGAATACTTAAGGTATATATATCTGTAAATTTAATCCACTGTGTTTCTTTATAGGGCAAGAGGGGGAAGGGAGGTGTAAAAGAAAGCCACACCAATTCGAAGAGGGACCAGCAAAGTGCTGGGCTTGCCAAAAGCTGACAAGACCTGTGGTGTGAGGCTGCTGGCTGCCAGCTGCCCAGATTTGTCTAGCATTTGGGCAGCAGAAACCATTCCAGCCTGTTCACGTTGCAGGATGTGGGTCTTACAAGGGGGATGGGGATAGACGTGGGGATGGGGATTTTACAAGGACTCTGAGAGACAACAAGGCTGAATCCTCAGTCTTGAAAATACCAATGAGTCCCTTAACCCGATTTAGAAATCCAAACCGCAGGGATGGAAAAGGAAGTGGCAGAAGTGTCTGGGTCACCCCACAGCCCCTGCCCAGATGGTCAGGCTGGTGGGCTCCTGCCATTGCCATCCACGGGTGCAGGTGCATCGCAAGGGAGGGTATCTGCGATCCTGAACCAAAACAGCAGGGCAAGCACAGCCAGCCGAGGAGGTGACTCCTAGTTCCATAGGTGACGCTGGCAGTGCTCAACAGCCTGTGGGAGAGACGGGGAAGGATGATGGTGGGAGGCAGGGTCTCCTGGCTCACTGCAAACCCAGGGGAGGAGATGTGGCCAGCACTTACCTGGCACTTGATCGCTGTGGCCATGTTCTTGCACCAGTATTGCGGGCCCAAGGCACAGAGGTCTGAGCCCAGGAGATCCTCCTCGGATGAGTCACAAGCTTTTATTTTCTGCATGGCAAACGATGGGAGGTGGAAGAAGAAAACCCATGAGCACCCTTTTATCCCACTGCCCCTCTCCCAGACCCCCAGGCTGGGACAAAGGATGCCCACCTGGGTGGGTCGGGGCTGCCCCAGGGACACTTACAGTGCAGACGAAGGTGGGGTCCATCATCTGCACGAAGAGCCGCACAGCCTCTGGCTCATACTGCACCACGAGTGCTTCACACTGGGAATGAGAGAGAGGTGTGAGCACAGTGAGGTGTGTCAGGGGGTCCCCACCGGGCAGGCACTCCCCGCAGCTCACCGTGCCAGTGAGCGGTGCGGGCAGCAGCTCGCAGCCCTTCTGCAGCATGTCACCCAGCTCCGACAGCGTCTCGTTCTTCAGCAGCTCGTTGTCAAAGTACGTGATGATGATCTGGCAGACGTTGCAGAATGCTCCCGCACCCACTGCCAGCTGCTCCAGCATGGCAGGCCCTGTGGGACACAGCGGGGCCTGTGTTAGCAGTGTTAGCACCCCTCTCCCAGGGGACATGGTGCCTGGGTGCCACCCGGGCCCCCCAGCTCACCGCGGCGGGTGTCCCCGCTCCGGGGGCAGCAGCGCAGCATGGTGCAGACAGCCGCCGGGTCGGTGGCCTCCAGCAGCATGATGACCACGGCTTTGCCATAGGAGTCAACGAAGTCCTTGCACTGCCCGATGACGCTGTGGGGCAGCATGTAGCACACCTTCTCGATGTCGTTCACCAGTTGCTCCTGCCGGGAGAAGGCAGGCAGAGAGAAAACCACACTCCTTGCTGCCCCCTTTCCCAGTGCCCCCATCCCTGGACAGCAGCAGCGGAGCTCACCTCCGTCACGTTGTTCTCCAGGAGGCTTTCGGCCGCTTTCACAGCAAATTGGCACATCTCACACAGTGGAGTGGTCCCTTCCCTGTCCTGTGGGAAAAAGGCAGTGGGATGCACACTGAGCCCCGCCAGCGCTGCCCCCATCCCACCCAGCCATCAACCCCCACAAAAGATATTCCCCACCTTGGAAAAATGGAGATGCTTGAGGGGAAAAGAAAAAGTAAAATAAGGCTCCTCCTTCCCAGCATTTGGATTTGAAGGAGCATGTTTGAGTCGGGAGAGGTCCCCGCTTACCCACAGCGTGCTCAGGACCTGTATCATCTTCTCTGTGAGCAGTGTGTGGAAGGGCAGCAGTGAGGAAGAGGAGCAGAGTCCCAGCTGGCCACACAGCTCCATGGGGTCCTGGGGAGAGACGTCTTAAATCAGGTGGGCATCACCCCCCAGGAGGGTAAGTCTGTGCCCTCAGTTCCCAATGGAGGGTGATTTCAGCCAGTTGGGGCATGGGTCTCGCTTACCTCAGCCAGCTGCCGGTGGAGGGACCAGAAAATGGAAAGAAAAAGAGACAATAAAAAGGAATTACAACAGTTGTAAGCCAGAGAGAGGGGAAAACTATTTGTAGGGATATAAAGCAGTGGGGTTTAACTAAAAAGACAAGAGTAGGGCCCTGCTCTTGCTGATGAGGTCCCACTGGCTGTGCTGCTTGGGACACACACCCCCCAACCCCCCCCACCAGCACCCACCCATCCCTGGCAGCCCCGGGGAGCTGCTCACCCACTTACCATGTACTGGAGCAGCCGGACGGCCGTGTCCATGTACTCGGCCAGGTAGTGCTTGCACTGTGCAGGGGAGACACAACGTCAGCACACGGGGTGGACAGACACCCCCCCACCCTGCCCACAGCACAGTCTGCCTGGGAGCTGCCCAAAAGCTGCAGAAGACGCTGGCATGCCCAGCATGACAAGAGCACCCTTACCTGCTGTGCCAGGTTGGGTGCCAGGCCCTCACATGCCCACTCAGTGCGGGCCACCAGCGCCTGAGTGAAGGCGGCATTGGTCCCCAGCTCCAGCTGCATAGCGGCCACCAGCCGCAGGCATTCCTCACACACCTCTTCCTTCTCCTGTAGGATAACATGGGCAGGAACACCTCAGTAGATCCCAGAAATAAAACTGAGTGGCCCCAGTGCCTCCATTTTCCAGGCTGGGATTTAAATGCCCGGTCTCAATCTGAGGCAGCTTTTGGCCAGCATCTCTCTGGTCCCAGCCCTGCTTCCTGCAATATCCCAACCCAAAACTGGTGACACCCCTAATCAGGTGCCATTTCAGCTGTACAGTAAGCTTAATGTTTTTTAAAAATGATTGTTTAGTAGGTGCCGCTTTGCTGATTCTCATCCTTGAGCAGCATCAATGTCATTCCTGCCCGTGCCATAGTACCTGAGCCTCACCACGAGGCAGGTCCTGGGGATGGAGCAGGAGGGGCACGTTGGTGATGAAGGGAGTAACCAGGTCAGCAAAGTCCTGAGCAGGGCCGGCAGGGGCTGGTGGTGGTTCCTGAAACTTCAGGGCTCCTGTGGGGCTCTCCCGAGGCTGGCACAGCTTGATGGTCCCACACACCACCTTCGGGTCCGCCTGGGGGAGCAGAGGGATGGGGGCTTGCAGTTGCATCTGCCCCATTACCCTCCTCCCTTCAGCCACCAAGCCTGGGTCATTTCCATCCCCACCTCATTCCCATGGAGGTTTTGTCCCAGGCTCCAAGCACCTCCCTTGCTTTTCAAGCCCCCAGGATACCCCAAACCATGGGTAAACACAAACCCAAAGGGGTCGCCACCAGTTACCAGCACTTGCTTGCCCAGCTGGACGAGGATGAGGATGCCGGTGTCCACCATCCTCTTGCACTTCACAGACCAGTCCTGGAAGGGCAGGTACTGGCATTTCTTATCCAAGAAGAGCCGCAGCTTTTCCTAGGTAATAAGGGGAGAGCTCAGGAATAGGTGGCCCCCACTGGTGTGGGAGTGACAAGCCAGACCCACACTCCATGCCAGGCTGTGACCCACCTCGGTGCGGTTGTCCTGCAGGATCTTGCCTACCACAGAGACTGCCATCTGGCATAGGTGACATGGGATTCCCTTCTGCTGAGAGAGAGGACACAGTGGATGTTGCCACAACACCCAGACCCACAACTTGCTCCTCAGATCCCAAGCCAGATCTGTTTCTGATCCCCCCAGAAACACCCCACCAAGGGGCACTTCGGAATACCCTGGAGCACCAATGCTTTTTTGCTGCTCACTCTGCAGACATACTGCTGCCTGACACCATCAGCCAATGCTCCTCTGGGTACCCAGCACTGAGCTGGCCAGGCTGGGATTCTTCCCCCAGCCCTACACTTGGAGTCAGGATGGACACATCACTCCATGCCCCTGCATCCCTGCCTCCTGGCTCAATTACCCCCACAGCCTGGTCCCAGACGGAGATCTGGCAGAGCTGCAGCGTCCCACACTTGGCTGCTGTCACCACATCGCGGCACCAGTCCTCTGGCCGCTTGCTGCACTCGTGGAGGGGGCTGGCCTCAGCTTTGGGAGGGAGGAAAGAAAACCATCAGTGCCCCAAGAGCACCCCAAGACCATCTCTCTTGCCTTGCACCAACCGCTCCACCACCCTGCCCCGCAAGCTGGGGTGATGCTCTTTACCCTCCCACTGTGATTCACCCTCAGCTTTCGCAATGGTGGTGCGGTTGCTGGGTTTTCTAAATGATTTTATAAGCCCAGCAAAGGCAGGCTTTGCCAGGCCAGCGCGTGCTGCCAGCTTTACCAACAGTGTGTCCCAGCAGCTTTGGGCCCGTGCCAAAAGCAAAGCGAACTTGGGGATCATCACCCTCAGCCTCACAGCACCCTTCAACGCGCTGGGGAGGCGGCTGCTCATATGAAGGTCAATAAATCTTGCAGAAGGAGCCACACGGGGTGCCGGCACGCAGCCCCGCGCAGCAGCCGGTTAGCCACGCCGCGGCTCCCGGCAATGGTTGAGCAACCCTGCTTTGGGTTGTTATTTTTATTCCATTTCCTCCCAACGCCAGCATTTTCTCCTGGCTGAAAATCCCTGGCACAGTGGTGGCGGCGCCCACCCTGGCTGCCCAAGCAGCATGGTGGTATGGTGCAATGCCACTGGTTTAATTGCCACCTCGGCGTGTCAGGATTCATTTGGGATGGGGCGAGGGTTTGTTCCCAGCAGGGGCTGCGCTCACCCAAGATGCAGCTGGGCAGGAGGCAAGAAGCCAGCACAACCCAGGCCCTTCGCTACCCTGCTTTGGCAGGAGCTGCTCTGGAAATCCAGGGGGAACGTGGGGAGCAGCACATGGACAGACAGACCCAGCTGCATACCCTTGTCTAAGCAAACATCCCCTCTTCCCCCAGAGCATTTGCATACAACTTTTATCACTCAGCCCTGGCCCTATGATCTTGCATAGCAGGAATAAAGCCAAAGGCAGAAACAGCTCCTTCCGCCCACCCTGCCCTTATCAGGTTTCTCCCCAAAAGCTGTTTTCCTGCATGCCATATTTTGGCAACACCTTTGGCTCATTCGTGGGACATGTTGCGGCAGTGGCTTGAAACGCCCGGGGCCCACCCCAGCAAGTCCCCGGGAGTGGGAGCTGTGGGCAGGGAACCCCTGAGCCCCCTACCAGCCCCACTGCTCCCAGACACGCTGGCGCAGCTCAGAGGGTGCCTCTGTGGTGTTTCTGCAGTGATTACCCCATCGGGCTGACGGCAGCACTGGGGCATGAGTGAGCCCAGGGGCAGGGCGAGTCCCCCCTGCTTCCCATGGACGCCTTCCCACACAGCTCTCTCTCCAGCAGCACGAAGCCGTGGTCGCTGCATCAGCTGAGAGACAGACATTTAGGTTTTTAACTCTGGCACCAGCGTCAGGGCAAACAGGAATGGCGAGTCAGCGGAAGTATGATGCAGCAGCTCCAAAAAAAAAGGAGAGGGGAGGCAACAACCCCATAGCTTCTTTCTGAGCTGGTCCTGCCTGACCCACAGACACAGCCCAGACCAACAGCATAAGAATGCTGCCATTGACAGCGTAAGGGGATTTACGTGTCCTAAAAGACACTGGTGGTTTGGACTCACACCTTTGTGGCTCACAGCTCAGTGCCTACTCCTTGCCCTGCTCAAGATGAAACTCAGGCAAGTGAAGGGCCACAAAAATAATTAATACTAATCACAACACCCAACTACTGAGAGCAGGAGGAGCAGGTGGAAAGCATCACCACGGGGCAAGGAACCAGGGCAACTGGTGCCCTGTGAGTTCTCCTCCACATTTCAGAGCTGTGCCAGAGCAGCCTCATGCTGACAGGCACCCGGGCAGCAGGACGCCGGTTGATGCCATTTTCAGTGAAGCTGCAGCACGGAGCACAGGGTAAGCAGGGATGCAGTGTCCCCAGGGCAGCCAGGAGCACCCTATCCCCGGCTGCCAGCCCCCAGGGTGGGCTGGGCTTTCCTCAGGGGGGATCCAGCACCAAGCTCCACATCTGGCAGGGCTATGCCAGCATTACAAGGAGCCCCGGAACACGCTGGCTGAGCCGGCAGAGCCTGGCGAGCAGGTTGTGATGTAAAGCCTGGGGGTGGCGGTGTGGGCCCCAGCGCCCCAGTTCCTGCCCTGGTCCACACCCCTATTACAGCAAAAAATCCTAAATACACTCTTCCCAGCATCACTATCCTTCTCCAAGGCTGACAGTGGGCCCCGGTCCCATAGACACAGCGCTGTGCAGCCCAACCACTGCCACAGGAGCCTCCACCGGCTCCCAGGGCAGGCATCCCCAGAAGCACACATACCAAGCACAGGTGCGCATTCCTGCTCCGCCTGTTGCTGGCTGTGCACCCAACTGCCAGGCCATGTGTGTGCAGTCACGCCTCCACCACAAAGCCAGCACCCAGGCAGGTCACACCAGAGGAGCCCGATGGGCTGAGCCTGGGGTAAGGTAGGGTGCAAAAGAGGTTCTTCCCCCTAAAAGGTTGGGGTTTTTTGACTACAACAGCAGAGCTCCACAGTTTCCCTAGGGAAATGGCCCCTGGAGTAAGTGAATTCCCTTCAAGCAAGGCCCAGAGCTCCAGAACCAGGCTCTTCACAATTGGTTCGCTGGTGAGGGGCAGGGAAAGAGCCAGGTATCACTTCCTCACTCTTATGGGGGAGGCCTAGGGGACAGCAGCACAAGATCAGCTGCAGGAGGATTTGCTCACAGATACTCAAAGCTCCAGTGATGAGCAGGACAGCTTCAGGTGGCACCATGGTCACTCCATCATGCAAGGAGAACAAAGTCTGGTGTGAGTTTCTCCCACATCACACATACACAGCCAGGTCCCAATGCCCTCTCCCCCATTACTGCTAAGACACCCCGTCAAGTGGCCTCCCTTCTATACCACTGCAGAACACCAGCTCCATCTGAAGCCCTGCTGTCCAAAGGGAGGGAACAAACCACTTTTTGCCCTGACATCATCACTAAGGGCAGAAGTTGCAATGCTCATGTCCAGGTAGGCAAGAAGTCAAGCAGCCAGTAGTGCCACCAGCCTGAACTCTCCTCTAGCCTAACTCCACCACTACAGAGGGGCGAGGAAGCATGCTACAGAGCTTAAACACCACAGCTGCAAATAGTTTTGGGGTTCTGAGGGGTTTTCTGGGCTCTCCTTGAGTCCTACCCCCATGCCTGGCCTTACCTTGGTAGGAGCCCAGGCACACAGAAAGGATCAGCAGCACCCAGCCACTCCATTTGATCTCCATGCTGTTCCTAAGATAGTCCTCAGTGGCTGGTTCCGCTCCTGTGCTGCTCCCAGACTGAGGGATCTTGGATGGGCTGGGAGAAGTAGAGAGAACCCACACCCACACAGGGCAATTACCACACCCCTCTCCTTATGGCTTGATTATAAAATCATCATCACCAGCCTGCAAGTAGAGGGAGGGACCAGAGCCAGGCAGGTATTCCCGGGAAGTCAAAACCAGCCCAGAACCTGCTGCTCAACACTAACTATTCCTGGCTGCAAAGTGTAGACCCAACCAGGGAGAACTGTCCTAACACCATGCAATGCAGCTATTTCCCATGCTCTTCACAAAATTCACCCTTATGATGCATTCATAACAGATGAATGCATCAGCCCTTACAAAAAAAAAGTCAGTAGTGAAGATACTAAAGACCATTAAATTTAGGACAACTGAATTAATGGGGTATTGAGAGGTAGCCTCATAGTTTGCTTAAAACATTTTAAAAGTCACATTTTGTTTAAAACAAAGCAAGGAATGAAGACAAAAGGGAAGCAGACACATTAAATGCAAGTCAGCACTGAAGCCTGGTATCAAGCAGCTTCAGCAAGAACTCCCTCCAGCCCACACCAGGCAGAGGAATTGCAACACGGGACTGTTGCCTCACATCAGGCATTGTGTTTGTCCAGGGAAGAGAACAGCAGTGCAATCCCTGGCAAGCCTCTAGCCTGCATCTGTGCTCAACATAGCAAAGGCTTGATGGGACATGCATACTGTAAGGCAATGGCAACTCAATGGGAATTAGAGTCCTGTCATTCACCCTGATTCCCATTGATGTTTTGGGATGTGCCTCCTCCTGACTCTGCAGGAAAGGGGAAGCTAGCAAGACCCTTCAGCAACTAGCACACAGTAAAGAAATGAAACACATCGGTTTACAGAGGTTTTTATTGTTCATTAAGGAAGCTTTTGTGCAAAAATCAAGACAATGTTCTTTAGAAAGCACGTGTCCCCCTAGCGTAACTCAAGCAGGTCAGGTGCCATGGGCCACAGGAAAGGAGACTAAAGACTCCCAGCAGTAGCACAGGATTTCTCCCACTTCAGCTCTACCAACAGGTTGCTAGCATAATCCTCCACTGCTAAAAACCCAAGAAAATTAAAACCTTGCCAACATGGAAGAGCAAGTCTCAATCCATCATGTTAAGAGAACACCATCTAGTTTAAAAGATCAAATACCATATTACATGCTGTAGTGTAACCCAACCTGTACCTTCAGGGCAGCAATGCTGAAGAAAGCTCATTTCCTCCTATCCGGCATATATCCACCCCACCTGGGATACACCACTGGAACCACTGCACAAGGCTGCCAAGACAGAAAGCTGCAGATATTTTACATTTCTAGGGGAAATTATTTTCCTTTTTAGAGCCACGAGTGCTTCAGTGTTCTGTACAAATGCAAACAGGAAAGACAAACCAGTACTGCTATCTGTCAACACTGCCCAGACATTTAGCATGTACATGTAGTAACTAAAAAAGCTGCAGTCAAGTGTTTTTTCATTAAAACAGCATGAAAATTACCTTGCTTGCTTCTAAAGCAGTTACCAGAGCTCCTGCCTCACCCAAGACACCACAGGGAACAGCAGCAGTTGCCAGCTCCTTTCTGAACAGGACTGGAATTTTCAAAGCTCCACCTTTGCCAAGCTTCTCCTTCCAAAAGGCTTCCTCAGAGCTACTTTGTGGTGCCTCTGTTTTGGGGGTTAACTTGACCAGAACCATGTGCCAAGCTTCTCCTTCCAAAAGGCTTCCTCAGAGCTACTTCGTGGTGCCTCTGTTTTGGGGGTTAACTTGACCAGAACCATGTGCCAAGCTTCTCCTTCCAAAAGGCTTCCTCAGAGCTACTTTGTGGTGCCTCTGTTTTGGGGGTTAACTTGACCAGAACCATGTACTACATGCTACTAAGTAGTACAAGGTCCATTCTCAAGCAATGTAAGCATGATTCTCATTCGAGGCCCCTACACACCTCAAGGGCCTGACTTGTTTCCAGGGTAGCAGCCTGTCTCAAAAGGCTTTTGTTCAGAATTTCAGGCCATTTCAGTGGGATGCTGCAGAGGCGTGAAAAGCAGGTTGGCAGGTATGCCAGCAGAGCTGCCAAATACCTACTACAGTGCTCTTAACTCTGCCATCTCCGCTTGCTACTCAGACACATTTCCCAACAGAAATGGAAGCTCTGGAAAAAAGTTTATACTTTAAGGTACTCAGAAAGGTGAATGTCAAGTGAGAATGGGTGGCAGCAATGGAAACTGCCTGTGAGCCTCATAGTGCCTCTGAAATTTTACATAACCAAAATATGCCACAAGAACAAAAACAGACTGAGGAACACACTGGCAGTTTACAATAAAACCCGTTTTTCCCGGCACTCTGCCCTCTATGCTGAACTCGCTTTTGACATAGGCACAGCCCCTGCTGACTTTCCCCCCCCTCGCCCCATCTTCTACCGACCCAGCTCACTCCACCTCCTTGGCACCCATTTGGCTGCATGTAGGAAGCTGCAAGACTAAGCAGAATTGAGCAACAAGGGTAAGAAAAAAGGGAGCCATTCCTTAAGTACATCAGCATGCTTCAGAAGACTGAAATCCCACAGGGCTTGACAGTAGCACACCCATGCTTATATCAAGTAGTTCAAGGAAATATAAAGGACATGATCAAAGGCTGAAGGAGGGTTTCCTTAACTGTAACACTACAACAAGCTATAAGCATGGTCACTCAAATGCAAATGCATCCTTTTTAGGTACGAGTTACTTTGAAAGTTAGCTGGACACAAGAAGCCCCTTCTCTGCATCTGTAGAGCTTTGAAAATTCCAGCCGAAGAGATTCCCAGGTTCAGCATTATCCCTTAAAGAGTTTCTTAGGGCTACACCAAAAATGATCATTCCACCCAGATGTTAAAAATGCAAAGCATGTAATCTTCCCAATGCTGACTACAGAAAGACATTAAAATTTAGTCACCATCTTGTTCTTTTTTTGAATTTAAAGATTATAGCCTTGTCTCATTTCACTTTCTCTGCCATTCTTTCCAGCACCTAAAAAACACTTCAGCCTATCAATTAAAAAACTACAACACACTGACTATTTTTTAGGAGCATAATGAGTTAAACTGTACAATCAAAAATATCTTTGTTAAGTTGACAATGAAGATCTGATCCTTCAACAGCAGCACTGCTACAGAAGAGTTACAATAAAAGAACTTGAAGGTCAAATTATTAATGAGGCAGAGAGGAGGGACATTTGAGATACAGCTCTCCGCCAACCTCGGCCCAAATTTTTAAGAGCCATGGCAAACTTTCAGAACTGGAAATTCTTCTTCTAGTTCCACACATGACGTTTGCAGTGATCAACAGCCTAAAGGGAAAGAAATAGCATACATTAGTGGAAAAAAGCCTGTTGCAAACAAGCGTGCATCTACACATACAATCCAGTACCCTGTCCTGAGCCAAGATCTTGGGGGCAAATCTCTTTCTCTGAAAATAAGTGTTTCCAGAGAGGACTAGAACGACATCCTCCTCCCCACCCAGAAGCTTCAGGAAAGAATGCTGATGACCCTTAGCCACTAAGGTGTGGCAAAGAAAGCATGAGCCCACAACACTGGAAGCCAAATTTTAGAGCCTGATGAGAGGTCGTGACATGATCTGTTGGACATAAGAACAGACTAAATATAAAGCTCACACTGTATGTTACTATAGATTCTGAAATGCTAGCAGACAGGTGGCAGATCAGAACAAAAGTGAGGGGAAGCCATCTTTAATAAAGTTAAGGGCTATGCAAGACCCTCTAATCAAACTCAACCATCTCTAGCTAGTACCCTTTTGACTCCTGAAGCTGGAGCTCATCCACTTGAAAGCGTAGTGTAGAAGCTGGAAAAGTCACTTATAAGTAGTTATCAAGGACCAATAGAAAACTTGAGGCAGAATCCTGCTTTACATACATTGCACTGAGCAGCAGTCTCCATGTTCTTACACCAGTAACCTGGACCCCAAACACAAGCATCATCCCCCAGGAGAGGCTGCTTAGCTGATCCGCAGACTCCAAGTTTCTGAAAAAACAACAGCAGCGGTCAGCATCGTCTATTTGCACCAAGAGATCTCAACTCCAGCCTTACATCTGAGCTTCTACCCGACTGAGCTTCAGGAGCTCCCACAGCACTACGCTCCACTGATAACTGCAGTCATGTTTGCAGCTAAACATGAAGCGGTAATCTGACACAAGGAAGAATTAAATTACCACAAGGGCTTCTTTGTATAAAGTTCTGAGAAACAGCTTCTAGAAAGGAAGCTTTTTCAATAAATGTCATTTAGCTTCTCATCACACTGAAAGCACATTACTACTGAACCTCAACAGCAGATAACCACTGGCATCGCTTTTTCTCTATCCTTCCTTGCACAAGGCTGGCAGTCAGACAGCTGTCCATTCAGTAAGCCTGAGGCTTTGCACAAACACATTTGCTCCAAGCATTCAGCATGACGATTTTTATTCCAGCAGTTAGTGCATGCTAGACACTGAAAGGCATACAGAAGAGCAAGCAAGACTATTGGAGCCTACACTCAATAGAACTATATGCAATACTCACAGTGCAAACGAAAGTGGGATCCATCATTTCCGCCAAGAGTTGCACAACCATGGGTTCATACTGATCCACAAACTGAACGCACTGTAACAAAACACAGGTTGAGAAATTCTGTTAAAGCCTTAGAAGAGGAAGATACGGACTTCAGCACGCAGTCTTGTACACTACTCTAAACATTCCAGTAACAAACTGATGAAGCAGAGGCTGGAGCTCTGCAGATTGAAAAGGACTCAGCACTACACTAATCACACAACTACATAATTTGTTGCTACCTAATACCTGCCTGCAACTGTATGCATTATGATGAGAAAGGGGTCAAAAGGAAAAGAACCAAGCAGAACAGACTTCTGGAAAAGAACCAGGCAGGACAGGCTTTGATTTGCAAAGCTTAGTCTCTAATTGCGAGCATTACTGCTGCAAATGTACTGAGGAAAGCACACTGAACAAGCTGGAGACAAACATCCTGGACAGGACGGCAGCAATGCAGTAATGACTCTTAAGCACTTTTAGCCCAAGTAGTTACTATTCACTTCAGACCCGGCAGGAGGAGGAATGCTTCCCATGAGTAACAGTCAGCCCTCTAGTGGAGAGGCCATCTCCACAGCACAGCAGATACTGGCATTCTCAGCACAGGCTAACGGCACCAATTAATAAATGAACCACAGCTATTAAACAGCCTCACAGCAGTTAGCAGGAATAGATGTTTCATAGCTGCTTTAAGCTATGCATATAAGCAGTTGCCACTTGCTGACACTCAGCAACCACCTAAAAAGATTTCCAGGTAAATCTCGATAGTGGTGGCCTAACAGGTGCTGCTTTTTGCTGTCTCACTGGAATTAAATTATGCCAGCCTACTTCCAACTACTTTGTTAATCCCCTGAACAGGATCAGTATTGATTTAAAAAAAAAAACAAAAACAACAAAACCGACCAAAAAAAAAAAACCCTTTCAGCTGTTCCCACCCGCTGTTCTCAGCAAACCTTTACTGACTGCAAATTAGTACCACAATCCACCCAGCCAATTCAGTCCCTTAAAAGTCTCCATCTATTCAAAGGTCTGCCAACAGCCACAGATGGGAAGCGTGAAAACCTAAACATCCCGCACCCCAAACATTTTTCAACCTCTAGCAGAGGAAGGCTGATTACTCTCATAAAATACACTAGCAGATGCTTTGTCCTTCTGTTCATCTCCATCTGCCCTGCTCTGACTGGAAGGCAGGCTGCCACACAGCAAGGCCTGTGTGGTCACCTGACTGCCCCAGATGAGGCCTGCTCCCCCTTTTTTGCTCTGCTGCCCATGAGAAGCTGCTGTGCTTTGGTGTTAACTAGTAAAGAGAGAAACCTAGGAAGGATCAAGTTGCTGAACGTTAAGTCAGTCCCAGCTGCACCTGTGGACAGTTTGTCTCCAGCTACAGACCAAGGCAGTTGGTCAAACACAGATACCTCTACTATGAGTACCTGGACATTTATAGCAGAAGTAGACGCACTTGAGAGATGCACCTAAAATTAGCATGTAGACAAAGTATCAGGTGAAAGACACAGAAAACAAAATAAGCATGATTATCACTGTAGCGCATAGGTAAATGCAACAGACCATCAGGTGAAACACTCAAAAACTGATGTAAGCATAATCGTCACTGTAGTGCCTATGTAAACCAAACAAAATCAACCAGGACAATTCCCAACCATCAACCAGACCACTGTATTTTTAGCCTGCCTCCTGCGTGTTTTACCTGATCACTGACAGACTCTGGCAGGAAGTGACAGACTTTTTCCAGTAAAGCTTCAATTTCAGCTGTTGTGGCATTCTTCTCTAGTTCTTTGTCTGCATAAGCTACCACCATCTTGCAGATATCACAGAAGCCACCTGCAGGTCTCACTACAACTGAGAAAAAAAAAACACATCAAAATCAAGTATCAGTGGTTAGGTAGTTCCCTCAGATAGAAGAAAGGAGGCAGCAAAGTACTAAAGCACATGTTCTCAAATGAGATATAATAATCATAGGTGAATCAGCTCATTTTGCAACACCACCGACTCCTCATTACCAACCTGGTGGTGGTGGAGGAGGCTTGTTGGCAGCACAGCATTTCAGCATAACACACACAGCTTCAGGATTTGTTGCCTCCAAGAGCATGTCGACCAAAGCCTGGCCATAGACATCAATGAAGTCCTTACACTGGTCCTTGACACTTGCTGGGAACAGGTAGCAGACCACTTCCATTTCATGTACAATCTCCTCCTGAAGCATAATGAAGCATATATGGCAAATGAGGAACAAAAATCTCTATTCATTAGTGCATGTTTTCTTCCTCTGTCCCACCCAAGATGGAAAACTTGCTCTCATGAAAACAGACGAAAATAACTTTCCTTCACCCTATGGCCCCACTTTAGCCAAAGCCTAGGAAGAAGTACCATTTCCACCACTTACACACCTCCGTCTTGTTGCTCTCCAAAAGGCCAGTCACTTCTTTCACCATGGTCTCACATATCTCACACAAGGAAAGAGCTTTCTCTTGAACTGAGGCTTTCTGAGCACACACAGAAGAAGCACAAAATAATAAATCGGCACTTGACCATTTGACAGGAACAATTTGTAAAAGATCAGTTTAACAGCATTCACATTCAGGTGCAGCACACTTATTCATTTACCAAGCTGGCCAGTTTGAGCTGGATTCAGAAGGTCAGACAGAACACAAAACCAACCTTAAAAGTCTCAGTAAAAACCCTTTCTGAATGAGCAGTCATGACAATTAAGACTGCAATCCACAGGCTGTATAAGGAGGGGAGCTGAATTTAGTAGACATGGAGAAACAAACATCCCCACAGTGACTGGAGTCAAGGAAAGTCTGAAGTGTTTATTAGAATACATTGATAACACAACTCTTGCTTCTAGAAAAAACACAGAAATTGAGGGACTTGAGGGAAATTTTTTGGAGCCTGTTAATCATAAGTTAATTGACCTCAAGAGACTCCTCTTTCCTAAAAACCCTGAGCCCAAGTCTTGCTCAAAGGCCATGAGAAGCTAAGGTGCTCCTCCAAGGTCAAGAGCTTCAGCATTCTGTGATCACTCATCCGCACATGGAAAGTGCTAACCCATTTTTAAATGTTATCAAAGCATAACTCCCAATGTAGAGAAAAATTAAAATTCAGCAGTTTTCCCTCTAACATTTGAGGGGTCATTTAGAATGCCTACTATACACTACTACTGGAGAAGGAGTTCCCATTTTAATCCTAACCATTACCATACAGCTTCAATTTAACGCAGGCTTTGCTATTCTAACAAATTAATCGGCTCTCCTACTTCACAGATCAGCATCAGAAACAAGAGGTGGCCAGGAATTTATATGCAGGGAGACTAAGATTATTCTACACATAAAAGCCAGTATTTTTCTATTTCACCTATTTCATTACACTAAAGCAAAAAGGAAGGTAAAGATGTTGAGCACAGAAAGTCTACCTTACCTCCACTGTTTCCATTTTTACTTCATGAACCACTTGTGCTGGTACCAGAGTCCGAAGGGGAACAGATTTCACAGAAGAACAGAACCCAACCATGGCACAAATGTCCTTTGGTTGCTGGAAAGAGATGTATAAGCAATTTTTAAAAGCCTAGAACACTCTGCCCTTTCTATGGAGCCTGTGAGTAGGCACAAAGTTTTAAAAGGCTCCAACGTAACTAGAAGTTTAATGACTACTTCTACTTCAAGTATCGCCAAAGCATTTGATATGGTTATAGGCAGGACAACTACCAGATGAAGTTTAGCATCTTTCCTTTGACAAGGAAAAGGTCAGGCCACATCCATCTGAAAACCCCATTTATCACGAGCTATGCAAGCCCTTCAAAGGAGTTGACTTAAGAGCTACCAACACCAAAACAGGCCACCAGCATCACATTAGATCTGCATCCACAAAGCTGCCCCCCTGAAAGCTTTAAAGTAATCACAGAAGAGACTAATCATCCTGACTCCCGAGTTCACCCAAAAGTTGAAAGAAATGCTAGCAGAAAGGACTCCTTTTCTCATCCACAAACTACCTTCTTTAAAGCATCCAGTAACATCACATTTTGCAAAAAGAAACACATTTCCGCATAACTGAAAACAGCCTATAAGAAACAAAGATTAACCATGTTAACACCTAAGCTTTTTACAAGCATTAGAGGTAACTATTTCAAGTGTTCTTATCACAGTAAGAGGGAAAACACCAAACAGAAACAAACCCTCTCTCAAAGGTTTTAAAAAACATACTACTGTTGTGGTTTAAGCCCAGGCAGTAACTCAGAACCATGCAGCTGCTCACTCACTGCCCCCTCTTCTTCCCCACAAGTGGAGGTTCAGTCTGCAGCTAATTAGACAATTACTAAATGCAAAATATAAATGCCGGACATGAGGTAAACTGCTCTAAGGAGGCCACATTATATCTACACAAAGTGAGAAAGGCTGTCCAAAGTAATATGCAAAACTTGAATTTTCACACCTGAATACTCAGCTAAAAAAGTTACCTTTGGTCCTACAAATAATTAGAAGATCGTATCCTGTCACCTAGGCATCAAGCTTCTTACAGCAGAAGCTTATGCAACAGTTAATACATCATGCCACAACCTCATGCACAGGCAAAAGCAGTATCTCAAAGATACAGTGCTGCTTCAGACTACTCCAGGTAATATCTTTAAGTCAAGCCCTTTGGTTCATGCATTGTAAGAAGCATTTACAGATATTAATGTTACAGCAACACGCACATACACACAGCATGCTCTCTCACAGAGAGATGACAGACACAAGGTCTCCCAGGGCTGGTTAAATTAAAAGCCCAAACAGCTCTAGAAAGCAGGACCCTAAAGGCCTCCCACATCTTCTTTTCAATTCATGTACTCCAAATATCTATACCATTCTCCAAGATTTAAGGGTTAAGCAAGAAAAGCCCTGGGGACAGCTTCACTTTAGGCCTTTTGAGCCCAGACTTCAAACCAGAAGCTGACAGCCACTGGCATGCTTCTTCTACATCTATCCTTCTTGTACAAGAGTGAGCATATTTTCTGCTCTAGTGCCCAAAGCCTAATCAAGCTGAAATCTTAGTAGCACAAACTGGTATCTGGAGCTGGAAGTAGGAATGACCACTGGAGGAGAAATCTATAGTCTTTCCTATTTTAATTACATAAATATCCCTTGTATCTGTCAACACTGAGTACAATCACACCACGTAAACAGCTATTCAAGCAAGAAGTGAACTACAAGCCCTTTGAGAGCAAGAAATGAACTACAAGCAGGCTATCACCACAGGCAAGTTGCTCACCTACCTGATCCTTCTGTTGACAGGGAAGATTGGAGATAGAGGAAGAAAGGAGAAATTAAAGATAACAGTTAAGAGAAAAAAATGTCAGGCACTTGGAACTGCATATACTGTCCATGAAAATGATGGAATATGACATGGTCCCCCATCCAAAAGATCCTTAGCATTGCTACAGCAATTCATTTAGTTGCACAATGCTAACCAGCATTACCCATTCAAAGTTATTAAGGCACCCTGGGCAAGACAAGTCCCAAAGAGTATGAACACTCAGCCAGACGCAAGGTGTGGTCACATTCCAGTTTCAGGTATTAACACCACACTGCAATGCAATGCTTAAAATGAGAAACTAACTGTATTTGGAAGATCTGCTTCTCCTCCAAATGCTTAAGAAGCAGTGTAAAATTCTAAGTAGCCTTTAGAAACTTAAACAAACCAAAAGAAAAGAAAACACCACAAAAAAAGCAACAACAACAGTCACTATGTTGCCAAATTCAGGTTCAAGTCTGTTGCATACTCTATTCATAAATTCACCTCTAATTTGTTACGTTACTTGAGGCATCCAGGCACTGCACTCTCTAAGGAAAGACTTAACCTTTTTTCTTAAAGGCTTTGAGATCACTGGATAAAGAGGTGCCATGAAGGTGGTCAGAGATAAGATATTTTATATGTTGCTACAGAAGACAAGAGCTGGCGCACTCTCCATGGCTCCTACCCTTTCCATGAATCCTATAAAGAGTCTAGAGACAGCAATTCCAGAAGAAGGACATTTAGTCTTGCTTTAAATAGACACATTATCTTTAATACAAGAATCAATTTTGCTGTAATATGACAAGGACCAACTAATACGCTTAACAGTATTTGGTGGGGAGGGCAGTAGTGTAAGCACAGGACTGAGATAAGAGTATCAAGGCACATAGGTAATGCATCTCCTGCGTTTCAACAGATAAAATTGCTTTTGCACCACTAAAGTGGTTGTGAAAGAAGAGGAAAGCACTAAAGAAAGCATTCTAAAATTGAACTTACTATTTAATTAAATGCCAAGTTCAAAGTGTTAATTAACACCAAGACTTACATAGCAAAGGTTCTCAGACTTTTACTGCAGTAAATATTTCCTGTTTCCATATGTTAGCTACACAAAGTAGAAAAATGAACTAAGAGCAAATATTACGTTCTATTGATCTTACCAAGTGCATCATCATTTGGATAGCCAAGTCAGAATATTCAGAGATATAGTTCTTGCACTGCAGGAAGTGAGAAAAGAAAGTCTTGTAAATATCAAACCATTTAAGCTGTAAAGTTAATTTAGAATTTTCTAATACTTCAAGATATTAGTTAACTATTCTGTTGTCTTTCAGACCTTGTCCCAAAATATAAGATGGCATTTCAAGGTATACAATCATTGCACACATGGCTGCTTATTTGATAAGTCCTTCTCTCTTCCTCTTAGGGCAAAAGCACTCTCCCTCACTGATACGACCACATTACCCTGCCAGATCATTTTTATGAAAAAGGCCCTGAAAGGCTAGCAGGACTCTCTTGTCTTTTTCCTCCTCCCCAGTCCCATACACACCACCCCACCTAGCTTTCTTGACCGGAAAGTTTATTATTTCACTATTATATTGTTTATAATTTTTATGTTTATTATTTTACCGTTATACCATGTAACATATCCTACATGTGACACACTCTTTAGTTACACTAAATAGAGATTATGCTGAGAGGATGAAAGCACTGAACAAACTGGTTTATGTGTGCACACATGAACACATTTTTAAACAACAACAAAAAAAGCACCTACCATATCAGACATTTCAGGTCCCAAACGGTCACACTCCTCCTTAGCATGAGCAACCAAAGACTTTACAAAAGATGAGTTTGTCCTCACAGCTTCCTGAACATCAGTAACCAGCTTAATGCAATCTTGGCATACATCCCCACTTCCCTAGACAAAGAGAGAAAGGAAAAAAGTTGACATACCTTCACATAACACGTTTTAGAAGCTTCTGTTACTACCAAGTTTTAAAAGCTATTTTAAACTGTATACAAACCTTAACTAATACTCCATAGAATACTTAAAAGCCTAAGCTAATATAAATAGACAAGCTACTGCTGGTATTTGCACCAGCCACTAGATGGAGATCAGGTACCTACTTAGCTCTGAAACCCAAGATACCTGTTAAGATATCCAACCTTCAAAATCTCTTTGCTTTGTTACAGACCAAGTCTGGCATATATCTTACATGCTCCACCCACTGCAGCTTGTTTTCCACCCACGACTGTGTAACTCCTGTATCTAGACTTCCTATCAAGATGCAGCCTCTACTCACCAGTTCATTGTCTCATCTACTCCCCTTTATCAACTATTTGTTCTTTTCTGATTCAGTCTGTCACCTCTGGATTGAGAGACTATGCTTCCCCCGAAGGGCACATATAGGAGATTACTCAGAATGCCAGAGAATTCTTCCTCCTTTAAACACTGGTGTCAGACTTGCTCACAGAAGAAATTTTTTTCCAGTAAGGCCTGCTTGACTTATACAGTCCTGGATGGGAACAGCCTAGCACAAGACTTGTCTTTATAAACTGTGGTTGTTAATCCAGGATTATACCCATGGTCCCCAGGGGCTACAACTATCATCTTACTTAGCTTTAAACCCACAGGTAAAGGCAAAAGGTAGTTGCCTTTATGCAGCAGCACAAAATTCAACAGAAGACAGTCATCCAGGTGAGGAATAGCAGCTTATTAAGTACCCAGTACAGCAATCCCTTACTGAGAATCATCAAGAAGTTGTTATGCAAAGGAGCAGTGAAGTGCAAATGTTTTGCTTCAGAGTTTCAATTGCACACTGGAATAGCACTGCACCCTTACCTTTGACTTCTGCTTGGGCTTGTCCTGAGGGTAAAGGAGAAGAGGCACATTAGCCATGAATGGGGATGCCAGTTCAGAGAAATCCAGCTCTGGTATCTTATTTGACTGGAGTTGTTTCTGAAGTTTCACTGCTGCAAGGTGCTTCTGGAGGGATTGACACAGCGCAAGGGCACTACATACAACTTCAGGTTTATCCTAGGGGAGATACAATACATACATAAAGCCTTAGACTGATGGCACTTTTACATGAAGTTCGGAGTATAAAGTCATTCAGCTGAAACATGGAAGTGTTTCACACCAAGGAAGCAGTTTTCAAACTTACACCATTAATTGCAACACCAGTGATCCACACAAGACTGAAAAGTCATATGCACAATCTTGAAAGAGAAATTCTATGAAAGAGAAGTTCAGGCATAGACAGGAACAAAACTTTTAATTCCAACAGTTGCAAACTTATCTACTTACTAGCTCTTCTTTAATCATATCCATGATAACGGGTAGGTATGAATCCACAATTTCTTTGCACTCAGAGACCAGGCCTTGGTCAGGAAGAAACTCACATGTCTTTTCCAAGTAAGAGCGGATCTCATCCTATAAAAGATGAGGTGGGCTACAGACTATCAAAATATATAAGTATGTCTGTATCAAACGCTCTTTCATTCCCAAAACACGTAACAAGCCCCCCCAAGAAAACCCCCTTGAACTCATACAAGGTCCAAGCAGTTGGGAAGCAAAACTACAATGCAGTTTTACACTGTAGCTCTATTTTCCCTAGGCTTGGAGCCTGGATCGGTGAGACCCTGACAAAGTGAAAATGAAATACTGCTTGCATAGCCTGCACAACACAGTCTTGCCAGCATAGACCACTTACATTTAAGAAGAGGAAGTGAAATTACAGACCAATGGGACAGCGAGTAGTTTATATAACTCTCAGGTTCACCAGAGAAAAGGGGAAGAAGCACCCACAACCAGAATAAAGTCTACTTGGTGTAGTCTAGGGACTGCAGTATCCCACCTTTGAAGACTGATGGCCCACTGGCACAAGAAAAAAGTTTATTAAGCTTCTACAGTCAACCAGGGATGTTAGAGCATGAGAGGATTTGCTAATTTCTAAGCCAGAAAAGGCTGTTTAAAAGCCTTTTACCCCATGTACTCTGGCCATTTTCAACATCTGCTGCTTAGGTTGGAGAAAAAAAAAAAAAAATCAAAAAAAAAAAAATCACACAGACTACCCCCCTTCTACCACCTCACCCCTCACATTGTGATCTTAAGACAAAGAAATTAAATAATGCCTATGGGCAAGGAGAAGTGGAGCTGTACTTACCTCAGTGCCATTATCCTTCAAAACCTTGCCAGCTACTGTCACAAGTTCCTTACATAAGTCACAGGGGATACTGTTCTGGAGAAGGAAGCAGAGTTTAAGACAGACTTAAGTACCTGTAAATGCAGTGTGCAAATAACAATGTAAAGAACGAGTATCACGTTTGGAATGGAAGTTAAGGAAGAAATATGGGCTGCAACTGGGGTGGAAAGAGATGTTTTTAAATAGCGAGGCTATTCCAAGCATGTTCAGCTCCAGTTTCTTCAGTACATAAACATGGTATGAAGAATCAGGCATGCTACCACTTGCTCATTTCATCTAGTCCCAACTTCCTTGAAGTATAATGTATATTGCCTTGAGAATCATTCTCCTGAACCTCTTTTACCTTACTCCTCAGAGTTCACACTTACTAGAAATCTAAGAACTTTTCAGGACACTTCACACATTTTAGTTGTGCTCTGCCATTGACGTTCCTCCCTTTCCCTACTTTTCCACAAACTGAAACGTATCTTGACAGATATAGCCAAGGTAGACTGAATGCATCTTTAACTACAATGCGTTTTCCCCCTAGAAAATTGTGAACCAATACCACAAACTACAGCTGCATCTAGTAAAGCAGCACTCGTATTTAATACAAATGCAACTTGAAAAGCCACACTAAATGTACTATTATTTACTGTTATTGCTTTCATAACTTAGTATATGCTGCATCTTTTGTGGAACATCAACTTACAAGACCTAAAGAAGCAAATATTTTTTTTTAATAAGCCTATCAGTTTGGCATTGTCCAAATAAAGAATAAGAAAAGGCTCTATGAATTAGGAGTAAGTTTGCTAGAGGAACAAGTCTCAATTACACTAGCTCCTTTCCACATATCACTTGGTGATTGTGCAACAGGTCACAAGAAAAGTCAGCAGACAAGTTGTGCAAGTCAGAGAAGTGGAAAGCAACCTTTATCTAGGACCCAAATTAAGGCATAGTATCCAAGGCACAGACAGATGTAGCACTTAACTCTGATCAGAGACTTTAAAAAAATCTTTATCAGCATATGGAAACTCAACTACAGGTGAGAAGAAGTCTCAGTCAACACTTACTACGGTAGGCTTGTTCCAGACATTCTGCTGGCAGTGTTTCACCGCTCCACACTGTGATGCTGTCCGAACACTCTGACACCATACCTCTGGACCCTTCACACAGTCCTTCTGCCACAAAACAGGGCTTGCCACAGCTGTCAAAAAAAAGAACTGTTCTTTCACAGTTGCGTATTTGAATGATTTCCATGCAAAACAAGCAGGATAATGCTGTATCTACCACCTCTCCAGTACACCACTTAGCTTTACTAACATTTTTAAGCACATTTCAACCCAGTAGTTTCTGTCCTGAAATGTAAGAATGAGTCCAAAATAGACTTTGCAGCCAAAGAACTCAGAAAAACCTTAACAGTTGAACTTCTCTATTGAAGTGCTTGAGTCTCTGCACCGCAGCAGTCCATTCCTCCATTATCTACCTTTTGAAAAAGCCACACACACACCCCAAAGAAAAAAAAAGAAAACCCCACAAGAAAACCCAAAGATTTTTGCTTAGCACACAACTCCCACATGAGACAGCAAATGCTCATTGCAAAGACCTACACTTTCAGACAGCTGGCTCCCAAAGCTACAAGTTCTCTGCTCTCCTGTCCTACTGCTCTTGCATCACTTCCACTCTGAAACAGCAGTCTAGCTGTAATTGCTGCCTGCATTCCTTTTCCCAGGTAAACCACCCTTTTCTCATACAAGTGAGCTCTAGGAAACTAACTCTATCAGAAGCCACAACACACATTACATGGAGGACTTAAGAGCCAGGTGCAGACCAAAACAGTTACCATAAAGTTTCAAGACAGGCAAAAGAGGGACAGAAAACAATGTGAGACATGTTCTATGATACAGTTTTGAAACCCATTAAATCTATTAGGACTTTGTTTCCTTTTGGCCAGTTCCAAAACTATGTACAGAAAAATCTGTGGGGTGAGAAAGGAGAAGAAAAAAGAAGTGCATCATGTCCTTGTCTGGACATTACCTCGCAGTGCAAATGTGAAATTGGCTTGCAAACTACAAAGTTTTGAGGTAAAACACAGAATACCATTTCTGGACAGTCTTCCTAAAGACATGTAAAGATATGGACTATTAGTAAGTCATAGGGCAAGTTAACCAACTTGCCCTGGGTTAAGCTGTAGCAATTTTTGTAAAAAGCGATTTGTAAAACTTAACAATACTGCTTCTTAGAAGCTGGTGTGGTGCTGTGTTTTTGACTTTAGTCTGAGAACAAGGCTGACAACACCAATGTTTTTAGTTGTTGCTAAGTAATGCTTACGCCAATCAAGGACTTTTCAGTCTCATGCTCTGATAGTGAGGAGGGGCACAAGAAGTCAGGAGGAAGCAGAGACAGGACACCTGATCCAAACAAGCGACATTCCATACCACAGTACATCATGTCCAGTATAGAAACTGGGGGGAGCTACCCAGAAGGCCCAGATCGCTGCTCAGGTCAGGCTGGGTACTGGTTGGCAGGTGGTAAGCAGCTGTATTGTGCATCACTTGTATTTATTGTTTTTTTCCCTTTCCACTTTTAGTTTTATAATCTCTCCCCTTGTTACTTCCCTTATTATTATTATTGTTGGTAGAAGTAGTGGTTTGTATTATACCCAAGTTACTGGACTGTTCTTATCTCAGCCTGTGGGAGTTGCATTCTTTTGATTCTCCTTCCCATCCCTCCCTTGAGTGGAGGGGGAAAAGAAAAGGGGAGTGAATGAACAGCTGCATGGCTCAGAGTTACCAGCTGGGCTTAAAACACAACACAACTGCACATTTTAACTTGCTTTTCAAGCTTTAATTATTGCGCTGCCTGGACAGCAAGACACTGAACTTCCCCTAGGTTTATAAACCATCCCATTTGTCCATAGGCTCAAATTCTTCAGCCAGTCTCCTGTGTTGCACTAACCTATGAATAAAGATATGACTCCTAACAATCTTACAGCAGACAGGCTCCAAGGAAATCTGTCATAGTCTCTGCCTACAAGGCACTGCTGTCAAAGTTTATAAAAACACCCCAAACAACAGAACCAAAACATTCAAACCTATTAGCTGTATAGGTGCTGTTCAGGAGCCATTATCCTCGCATCAGCGCTGTTTTCACACATCACAAAATGCTGTAAAATTACACTATCAAGCAAATAGCAGGAATAAGGCCATTTCATTCCTATAAAGTTTCTAGGAAGGTTATGACGGAAGAACAATCCCTTTCCCATTTCCTTTTAGTGTGTGTTCACAGCCCAGAAAGCCAACCATATCCTGGGCTGCATCAAAAGGAAAGTGACCAGCAGGTCAAATGAGGTGATCCTGCCCCTCTACTCTGCTCTTGTGAGACCTCGCCTGGAGTACTGTGCACAGTTCTGGTGTCCTCAACATAAAAAGGTCATGGACCTGTTGGAACAAGTCCAGAGGAGGACCACGAGGATGATCAGGGGACTGGAGCACCTCCCGTATGAAGACAGGCTGAGAAAGTAGGGGCTGCTCAGCCTGGAGAAGAGAAGGCTGTGTGGAGACCCCAGAGCAGCCTTCCAGAATCTGAAGGGGGCCTACAGGGATGCTGGGGAGGGACTCTCCATTAGGGACTGTAGTGACAGGACAAGGGGTAATGGGTTCAAACTTAAACAGGGGAAGTTTAGATCGGATATAAGGAAGAAATTCTTTACTGTAAGGGTGGTGAATCACTGGAATGAGTTGCCCAGGGAAGTTGTGAATGCTCCATCCCTGGTGGTGTTCAAGGACAGGCTGGACAGAGCCTTGGGTGACATGGTTTAGTGGGAGGTGTCCCTGCCCATGGCAGGGGGGTTGGAACTAGATGATCTTAAGGTCCTTTCCAACCCTAACTATTCTATGATTCTATTTCTTGGTTTGTAGTTATTAGAGGATCAACTTAATGGCCAAATTACCAGTGCATCTACTAAGTACACAGCCACAGCACACCAAACAGAGAAGATAAACACTGCCTTATAGGTGGCATTCTGCAGCTCTCTCAGCTGTCAATTTATAAAGCGTGTTTACACTGGATTTCAGAGGAATGACCCATTTAAGAAAAATGTGCTTTGCATGTTAAATTTCCTACACAAGAAGGTTGCCACTCTCCCAGCAAAAAGCCTAGGCTGAGTATTATTCTTCAGCAAGACAGCACACTAGGGCTGCTTATAAGACTAGCAGTAAGACTTCAAAACTCCTAATAATGTACGGTTAGCAAAATATTTACAGACAGCCTATTCTAAACAACAGGATTATTGATCTGGAAGCACTAAGAATAGCTCAGTTTCAAGTCAGACTGGTCAGCCAAATAGCTGTCAGCTCTGGCAGGATGACAATAACCAAATATATACTTAGTTGAGGGAAAGTTATTCTTCTCTTTCAGATACTAGTACTGAATTGTGGCAGAAAGGCTCTGCAAGCAGAGTCAAGCTCTGGCTACAGTCAAGCAAGACCTTGACTTTAAACAGTGGAATTAAGGGCTTTCAAGTATTTGCAAGTCTAGCTTTTAACCTATGCCTTTAGTTGTATAAATCAGAGCAAAAATTACTGCCCCTCCCCTGTTTGAAACACACCATAAAACTAAACTATAAAACTACAATAGTTACTCTAAGCAGTTTCTCAAACTCAATCCAGCAGGCCATTTAAAAAACAAACTGAGGAATTCACACCCCAACTTGTACTGGTTTGACCTAGCTCTTAATAAACTTTTAGGTTTTGTTTGGCTTTTTACTTTTAAGATCCTGTCACCGTGTGAGTTTTCAGATCCATACCAGCTTCAGCAGAACATCTAACAGTTCCTTTTTTCTTTTTTCTTGTAGCATCTGACCTGGTCATTTTAAGTGCAGGACAAAAGAAACACTACACTTCTGAACTATGCTTACTTATCAGCTTTTCTGGCTTTATGCCTTTAACAAATTCCCTGCTGCATGGCTTCCGTATCAAATCGATGCTTACATAGTCGGTCACTAAGGCTGACTTGCCAGGACACAGCAAGCAGTATCAGTAGAGCAGCAGGGTTTTGTCAGGTTACAAGACTGAGGCAAAAGAAAACCAAAGAGCAAGGCAGTACTCTTGAAATCTTTGAGGTGAGCAAAGTGCAGATAATTCTGTTGGGGGGAGAAGGTTAAAATCAATTGATTTTTGGCAGTATGTTAACTACTTGACACATGTGATTGCACTGCTTTGCTGCATCGTGTCATGCCAGTCTGGAAGGAGTAGCTTCTGAGAAGCAGCATACATGGTCACATTTCATTCAGATTCTGCTCAAAGCACTACCACTGAGCACACAGTCAATTATATTTGAGAATAAGGACACTGATGTTATCTGCAAACCTCTACAGGGGGACGAAAGACAAAAATCTCAGAAGAGCTTGAGACCAGCAGGGACAGCAAAGAATGAGAAGTCAAACTTAAGTCAGTGAACACAGAAAACTAGTTTTAGGATGCAGGTAAGCACCCCAAACACCTTCCTGCTGGTATTACTTGAAATTCTCACTCCTACACATCAGAGCAAGATGAAATGCCAATATGCCTACATAACTGTTCCATTTAAAATAGCCAACAAATTTAGGAAACCTGTATTACCTATGCCACAAGGATGAACACTCATCTACAGAAAATAGAGGAACAGCAGTGTCCTTTCAGTCACAAACAACACTGAGGAAGTTTTTCCCTTTTGAAAGGCAACTTTACATTAGATGTCATCCATACAGATCCTTCTGATCAAATGATGACTAGGCAAATTTATTAGAGCCACACATTTTAGAAAGCAGCTACTGAACAAAGATAACACACACTAAGCATGACTTCTTTTTATCTTCTACAGTGACCTTAAATATAGTTGAGCTTGTATTAACTTATTCTATATTATGTTGAAATATTTGTATTACATAACTCACTGTCTAACATGAAAGGATGCACCTTCATTGAACAGTATCCGCCCTCCCTTTCTGCATGTCCCAGGAAATTAAAAACAAAACTAAAAAACTCTGCATTAATTCAGATCTTTCAGATTCAGTAAATAATAACCTGAAATCTTTTACTGTTCCCAAAACTTTCTGTCTTCAGCTTATTTTCCTATTTAATTATGAAACAGGATTTTTCCTCATATATTAACTTCTGTTTCAACAAAAGCAAACACGCCAGTGAACTGCATTAAGACCATGTGCTG